GGTCACGATGGTGTTCGGGCCGGTGGTAGTGACGATCGCGTGAAGATCAGTGGGAGTGCCTGTCGTGTTCGGTGAGCCATAATGTGCCGTTGAACCGGTCTCGAACATAAGCTTCACCGTGTTCGCGGCGGCTGTGGATGGAAAGTCCGAGAATTTAAACTGGTCACGATGGTGTTCGGGCCGGTGGTAGTGACGATCGCGTGAAGATCAGTGGGAGTGCCTGTCATGTTCGGTGAGCCATACTGTGCCGTTGAACCGGTCTCGAACATAAGCTCCACCGTGTTCGCGGCGGCTGTGGATGCGAAGTCCGAGAGGGTCGAACCGCCAGCGGTGATATTCTCGCTGGTGGCAGTTAAGGTGCTCGTATTGAGTGTCCTATTGGCGGCAGGTGAATTACGGGAATGGAACAGGCCGTATATCACCCCCGCAGCCACAATGGCACCTGCTGTAAAAGCAGAAGCAGCCAGGTAACACCGATTCCGAGTCAGCCCGGTTCGTTCTGCCAACAGCGGCAGCCACTCTTTCGGTAGACTATCGCGCGCGTCCGCCAGCTCCGCAGGTGTTAAGCGCCTGCAGTCTATGACTTCCAGTGGCTCCCTATGCTCTAAAGCCTCACTAACGTAGCCACTTACATTAGTCAGTGCCCTTCCCAACTCCCGCACTGACCGACCGACGCTGTCACGGCAAATCTGATCCAAAACACGAGGGAAGTCGTTACCAGGGTCTGTCGCCTCCAGATAGTCTTTGAGATCCCGCATAGCCAGGGCTTCGCCTAAAGTATTAGTCTGATTACAAGGACTGCACAGGAAAATTCTGGAGCACATCTCGAGCCAGTAGAATCTTCCGCGTTTATTCAACAAAACTTCTTCCTGAATGTTAGCGGCATCATCCCTGGCTGCTTCAATGAACTTCTTCATGGCTTCCTTAGGTACCGCAACGAGGAATTGAACCCTGGCCTCTCCTCTTCGGTGACCTAGTACCAACATTCTAAAAACACAGTCGGCAACAGGTGGCTGCACCCCTTCGGAATTTACTAGCCCTGCCAGCAGTCCCAATCGTCCCACGTTGCCTGACACCTGGCATGATACCGTCTTCATTGCCTGCTAAATTATTCCAGCTCAAAATTGCCAACGTTATGACCTACGGGGATGTTGCGTGCTTTACCCGCACGTTAAATTCAGACGTTGAATGTTCATCCTTGTTCCCGATCAATGTAGTTCAATGTAGCTCAAGTGACGTAACCATCCGTGCAGCGCCGGCAAGTCGGTAGCGGACTGCTCTGTCGACAT